TCCCCCCACCAATCCCCTAGCCCCACGACAAGAGTCGCATGGTTCAAGGAATGAATTATTCGGAAGACGGAAGGAAAGAAGAACTGTGTTCGGCGGTAGTTCTCCTGAAACCGGACAGTCGCGAGGCCAGCCCGGTGTGCCCCACCCCTCAACCCCGGTTGCCTCCTCACCCCATCCCCGCCCCCCAACCACCTCACCAGGCCAGGAGGGGTCTACTAATGATGTTCCTGTCGGGGTCTAGCCAGGTCGAACTCAAAGCTAAGCGAACCCAGAGTGACGTCACAGTGACAGTCGACTGCACCGTGCGTAGCGGAGATGGGGGCAGTGGGGGGTGCAGACGGAGCCTCTTGAAGCCTGACTCCCCGACTCGGTGGAGTTCGAAACACACATACAAACAGCGTGAAAAACGTCCTCGTAATATGTCAACGTTTCTTTGTAATTTTTGTTTACAAAATATGTTGTAAATCTATGCCGGCCCACATTTTGCTTGTCGAACAATCCCAAGTCGATACAAAGTGCTTGTAAATTCCTCATTTCAAAGTGTAATTTTACGACACACATCTTGGAAATTTTTCCAGCATACCTTCGACTATTGTTAAACGAACCCGTTAGGGTCGTTTCTACCAGAGAGCGCGGCGCTTTCTTTCACAATGCAGCCGCTTTTCACTTTGCACCGGTAAAACTCCGGTCCCTCCATGGTCTGAAGCCGTCGGTCGCCACTCACCTTTGGACGTGGCGCTGAAGGAGCGCAGCCGATACGAGTCCTCGTCCTCGTCGGGCCCCCGGGCGTGGCCCAGGTCGGGGACGTCGAGGAAGGCGGTGGACTTGCGGTGCTGGTGGTGGTCCCGGTGCACGGTGCCCGTGTGCGCGTGGTGCATGGAGGAGGCGCGCCGGCCCCCCGCCGGCCGCCTGCGCACGCCCGCGGGCGAGCTCTCGGGGGTGTTGGAGCCGGAGGCGCCCGTCACGCCGATGCGCGGCGCGTCCAGGCTGTCACCGTGGTGGTTGAGGCGCGGCTCCGAGTTGCCAGAGCGCATGCTGGTGTTGCTGCTGAAAGCACACAGCACAAGCACACATGAGCTAATCACACTGAAATCCGTTTTGCGATACTTTTGCGATAACAGGTGATTTGCGATTCCTTTATGCTAAAGGGCATGATACGTAACATTTTTATCGCTAACTGAATTGCGGAAAAATTATGCAATAAATTTTCATCGCAAAAATGTGTGATAAATACCGCCAAAGTATTACTGTATAACAGAAACTTGAAATAAAAAGTTAACCGGCCTGGGCCGTGCGGCCTCCCCCGACCGAGAGGCAGCGACCCTGCGGGTCTCTGGGTAGAGGGTGCCCAGTCACGGCCGCCACGCCTCGTCACTGCCGGCCGGAATGGCTCCGCAACGACAGCTCCCGCATCGTCCAGTGACAAAGACGGATAGCTGCTTGCCTTGCAATCCTAAATGCCGTCTTACTCACTATAATAGGCGAGGCAAGGTAGCGTAAGAGGGAACCTCCAGAATGAAATGACCATAAGCTCACACTCCGAAATATGCGGTCGGACGTCCCTTTCTGGTGGGCTGTGGTTATGCCGGTCGGTGTGGCTCTACGGCGTCTGGGACTGGGAGAGCCCTTATCGAGCTTCGGGCTCAAAGCCTACGCGGGAATTCCCAAGGCGGCTGCTGTAAACTCCAATACTCCACTCTGCCTCGTAAACTGAGAAGGACTCTCACCGACACAGCATATGGGTCCGGCATAAACATTCGGACTTTCCAAACATTTCCCCGTTAGTTTTGACAGTTTACTGTGGTGGCGCTGCAGCACATGTGCGGTGGTGGCGCCGACCTCTACGTCCTTAAAGGAAAAAGAACTGGGATTTTACGGAGAAACAGTTGAGATCCGAAACGGGCGGCAACCGGCTACCTCCACCTCCACCGCTCCCCTCTCGCTCTCCGCGCCTGCACGCCAGTGCGTAGGCAACCCATCGAGCTGCCGCGCATTCTCCCGGACACCCGGTAAGTAAATGACTTTGCGGTCCTCGAGCGTTTTTCTTGCGCCAAACACGCATTATTTTCGGTGTGTTCTCCTACAACGCTGCTCAAAGTGGGAACTGGAATATGTAATATGCGATTCTACTACTGGAGACGAAAATACGAGAATCACTTGTATCAAGTTTCGTGAAAGGAAACTATAGTGCAGCAGCCGGCGAGGTTTCCCAGAATGGTTCGTAGAGGGGCGTGCGCTGTTTGGAATAATCATTGGCACCATCATCGTTCTAAGACAAAGTTTTAAGGAGTTTGTGGAGTTGTGGCGGCAACGAGCAGCAGAATGGAACAGGGGAAGTCAGCCAATATGAAGGCGGGGTGGATAGCGCTCCGCCCCACCCCGCCACCTGCAGACTGCAGAGGGAGATGCCGACAACATCTGGGCGTCTTGTAGAAAATGAAATTGGAGAGGGATTCTATACCAAGTCACTCCATTCATCTGAACTTTCAACAAAATCATTGTTTCGATGATGGCAAAAGAAAATAATTAAAACGATGCGGTCATCGTGAAAAAGAAAGGATTTAGAGCTGCAGCCAGCTCTGTATAATTAGCCCAGTAGACCAGCCTGCCTATCACAAGTTGACTGAATAATTCTAGCCACCCACGTTTTCTCATGGTACAGCGTACGTCGAATGAACACAAAATCGTAGAAAGTTAGGGTATGCGATCAGAAAATAAAGGAGAAAAAAGGAACAGTTTCCTTTAAAAAACGAAGATAAAAACGAAATCTTACACCGTTTCGATTAAGGCGCGGTATAAGTGAGCTGCTTTGTGCCACTCACAAAACCCCTCTGTAAGTACGCACCCCACAGTACACCGTCCCCGGATGATGTCTGGGCCGAGTCTTGCCTTGCGTATGAGGAAAAGCTAGCGCAAGTCGAGTTACCCTGACCTGCAGTGACACTGACATTTGGGCCAGCGGAAAAGAAAGGGGTGGGGGGACGGGGGTTAGAGGGTGGGGATGGGATGATAAAAAGCTACACTAAAGGTGAGCGGCCGACCGAACACGTGAGTAACCTGTTGAGAGCGCGCTGATTACGAGCCGCGCCCTCCCACGTCCCTGCACCCCCCCCCCCTCTTTCATGACCTGTAAATCAGCAATAGGGGTCATCGCCACACTAAATCGGCTTTCCGAGTATGAGGAAGCTGCCGGATGAGAGGAACAAGAAGAAGGTAGCCCTGGGGAGGTGGCGTGGCGTGAGCCACAGTCCAGCAGAGGTTAGGATGCGTTTTGTTTAGTTTTCAAAAACAGTTTAGAACGGGCCCTATGCATCTAGAACCTTGGTACCACCTTTAATCAAGGTTTATTACGACAGGTATTGAGTCATTTCAAATAGTACCAATACCAATGCAATATGTATGTACACTAACGTGAACAACGACACCGGGGTAGTGTAGAAAATTGTGTAAACTTACTTTTACGAAGCCTAACGATACAAAACCACTCTTTGACACAAGAATGCTACGACGATGGTATCTGGGCCCCGTTTTTCTTTACAAATCCTACAAAACTTTTGTTTATGATCACGCAGCCACTCGCGACCGAACACAGCATGGTCGCCGGCGTTCTTCTGTGTTGTTTAGGGACCGCGACGCTTCGCTACGCCACGCCACCTCCTCAGGGCTACCTTCTTCTTGTTCCTCGAGTAGAAGATTTCTCATTCAAAAGATATCGTTTGGCCCCGTTTCACTTCGCGACGGACGGTGGGTGCGTCCAGCTTGTTGTGTTTTCGACGGTACTCACTGGTGGTGCTCCTGGGCGGGCCTGGGCCGGACGCTCTTGTTGGCGCCCGACATGCGGGCGCTGTGCGAGCGCGTGGCCGGCCGCCGCCCCGTCCTCCGGTTGCTCGACGGCGTCCCGGAATCGGGCGGCGTGGACGCGGCCGTGACCATGGCCTCCATGGAGGAGAAGCTGGGCGCGCAGATGGAGGCGGAGCGTCCTTTGCGCTGCGCGGAGCGGAACATGTCGTCCGCCGTCATGTCCATGTCCGCGCGCTGCGCGTGTCGCTCCGCGTGTCGGCCGGAGCCTCGGCCGGAGCGGACCGGCGCGCCGACTGGCGACGTGTTGCGACGAGCGACGAGCGGCGGGGCTGGGCGAGGCGAGGCGACAGCAAGGCGAAACACCACCCCCGACCCCGACGGCTGTGCGGCCACGACTGTGGGACTGGGGGGTCCCGCCCCGCCTGTCGGCCGCGCGCCTGCCTCGGGCCGCCGCGCTACGCTACGGCCGCTACCCCGGCAGCGCCACTCCGCCACACCGCCGCACCCCGCCTGTGTTGTCTCTGCTACGTTTCGCTACCCCCTGCTGCCACTTTGCGGGCCGCGGGCGGAGGCGGCGGCGCGGGCTCGGCTCGGCTGCGGGAGCGGAGCTGTCACCACCGCTGCAGTTAAAGCCGAGGGGAAGGCTGCGAGCGAACGCTACGTGTGAGAGCATGCATGGAGACGTGTGTGTATATGCGAGGGTGGGCGCGGAGGCGTTGGCGCGAACTGACCTTGTCTGTTACGGCAATGTTTAAAGAAGGAATGCGACTTTGCCCGAGCACTCGCTTCTTCTCTTCGCGGGCGTGCACCAGTTCCCGCCGGAGAGAGAGGGAGAGAGGGGGAGAAAGAGAGACAGAGACAGACTGGCTTTCAGCCGCATCGAGTTGGCAACCCTGTCCCTTTTGGACCGGTGCCATTCGGTCCGATCTCAGTACAACACGTCTGTTTACAGGGGCCGGGCCCGGTCGCTCGGACTCGCCCACCGCACACTTTACCAATTGGTTCGTTTACATGAACAGTCCGTCCTGAACGCGGCTGCGTCTCCTCTGCGGCGTGAGGTGTGATGGTGATGTCACGGGTCGGGTCGCGGGGGGGACGGTCCAACAGCTGGCGCCGCCGCAGGCTGGCGTCCTGCACAGGCACGCCCTGTCTGAGCGGGCTGAGCCGCTAAAGAGGGATTTCGGCGCCGGCCAAAAAAATTAATAAGTAGAAACACATGTGTCTGGTTTGGCCACAAAGGTGGGTGATGGGAGGTAGGGATGCGGCGAGCTGCCGAAAGTTGTGTACCGCTGATTGGGTTCGTGATTTTCAACCAACTAACAGTTCAATAAACTAGCAGCAAAAATGTGTGTGTTTCATACAAATACTTTTATTAAATTTAAAACTGCTGTATGAGCATACACAGCCGATTTCGTTTACATTGTTCTCGAAATAAGTATAAGGAACCAAAAACTGTGAGCCTAGGGGTAGGGAGAATGCAAATGTTTATTTTACTTGTAGTTTTAAAACTTACCCCTGTTACATTTTCAATTAGAAGTAATAATTAACTAGACAAAGGGGAGTCTGCCACAAAACGGAACGATGTAGATTGACAGATCTATTCCAGCCTCGTAACTTATCTTCAAATGCAGCGACTAGCATCAGGTTACAACTGTAAGTTATAACAAAGAGACTATCAAACTAAAGTACACTACAAACATAAATACGCTTCTTACATTTTCTACGAAAAAAAAACATCCATTGAACAAGCGAAAACATGGAATCTTTGGACAGTGGTTATTAAGTATTTACATACTGAAAATTACTTCTGTCTTTCATCACGTATATCTTGTCTTAACTGGCGTATGACACGCATTAATAGTTTCTAGACGTCAAATCCACCAGATTACAGAAGGTGACGTTTTACAGCAAAGTATACAGTAAACCTTCTTTTAGGTCCTTTATGGTTCGATGGATGGGAACAATTTGTGCGACAGGCCTGAGCCTGAAGTAGTTAAAAAGCATAGTTAGACCGCCCACCTCTCAGAGGTCAGCCGGATCCGTACCCGACCCGGCCAAATCGAAATCACTTTCTTCGAAAAGAATTAAACTAGAATTACGTTGGTCCCAAGTTACTCCCTTCCTTGGTATATAGGGGGTGGTCCAGAAAGTACGTCCGTTTTTCTCAGATTCATATGGCAAGTTACGGGAGCTCGTCGCCTGCGAAGCTCGGGGTAGGCCACCCCGCAGTACACGCGTGCCCTCCTGCAGGCAAGATGTTGCCTACCAATAAGGCGCTATGGCTATAAGAGCTGGCTTGGGCCTAACTTGGCTGGTTTTTATCGGTGAATGGCGGGCGTACTTTCTGGATAATCCCTAGACCCGCATACCATGGTTTTTACCCACTTCTTCCATACACATATCAATTACAATTTTGTTTTCAGTCACAATACCATTTAGGAAATACTAACCAGCACAACCATTTATCAATCGTTTACAGACTAGACAGGAAAACTGCTTGAACGATCTTTTCTGGTAAACACGCGTGAATGCGATTGTTTCGGACGTATTTTAACTTTATCATAAACTTAAGCTAAATTTGCCCGTCCACATGGGTAATGTTGTACCCTGGAGTGATGAGGTAGTTGTTTCTCTTCTGCAGGCACGCCAAACTTGCTCCGCGTCGAGTCTTGAAAGGGGTCACCAGTCACCACGAGAGGACAATCATCACAAATTCAAAAGAACTAAATTATTAAAATTGATTCTATCAGTTCGCAGGACGGGCAGCGCTGTGGCGCTGCCTAGTCCAGGGAGAGCACCGACTCTTTGCTCGTTCGCGGCGCGCTGCTGTTGGACAGCAGGCGGGGGCCGCCCAAATAGCTAATCGGATTGGCGAAAGTCCGCACGTTATCCGCGAGGTACACAGGCATGGGCGGCGCGGCCTTCTGCGGCCCGGGCCCGGGTGGGCCGCCGCGCGAGGGGAAGGCCTGCACAGGCCGCTTGGTGAGCGGGCCCACGGCGCCCGCGGCGGCGGGGCTCGAGGCCTCGTCGTCCTCTTCCTCCTCCTGGCTCTGAGCTGGCTCTGCAAGAAGAAGCGGTAATGGTGTGGCCCCGAACAGACACTTCTCCCGAAAGAGCTGGAAATTGCGAATCGCTGCGAGAGGCGAGGGGTTTGCGTATTTACCTGACACTTCTTCAGAGTCGTGATCGTCCTCGTGAATCGGTGGAAACTTGTTCCTTGAGTCGAGTCCCCCCGGCACCCCGTTGCCCTGTGCACACACAGCGAAGGGTAAAAAGTGACCTGAGCAGAGGGAAGGTCAAACACTACACGGACACGCACACACTCACACGCACCGGATAACAGCTGAAATCACTTTGTGTGTGTGGATGCAGCGTTAAAAGCAAATGCGATGCATGCAGATGAAAATCGGCAGCCTACTAGTGTGCGATATTAATATTAATATCTCTGAAAGGGAAAAGTAGCGTTCTGTACGCACACAAATTGCGTTTTCAAACCCTGTCCCTAGAAATACAAACGCTATCCCGGCTACGGCTTTGTTTGTTTTTTAAATAATAATTTTGCTGACATGCAGTGGTTTAGGTTTTGCTAGGGTCGATCAGTCAATGTGTTGGTGTCATGCGTCATGCTCTGACCTGCACCAGGCACTGTATAATGTTGGCCATGGGCAGGGCGAGAGGGGGTGCCGAGGCCGAATGTCAGGCGTACGGGGTCGTCGTGAACTCCATGCTGCCCAGCTCGTCGATCTTGTAGGGCAGCGGCGCGAACCCGATCTGGGACGGTGGCCGCGGCATCCGTTCAAGCAGCACCACCTGCCCAGCCCAAGACCCCCAGCATCAGCGCGTGTCAGAGAAGGCGCCACAGTTAGGTTGGCGGAGCCGACGTTTTGCATTGGAAATGGTTTGGGATTTAGGGGGCACCAACTGACTTATTACTATTGCGTGGACAGTGGGTTTGCTGGGATCTAAAAGTATAGTGCCAAAGCGTAGTGAAGAAAAGGTTTAGTACGTGTGTGAATGTATAATTCAACAGAGACACTGCCTTGGAGGCATACACGAACAATTTTCTATCCGGTGCGGACTGTAGGTAGGTGAGAAGAAAAAGTCCACGTTTCGACGATACTTTTGACATGATATTGAGACAGTTAAACATTTGAAGGGATTTATGGTAGCTATTACTGGGAGTCTCAGAGCGGACGCCGCAGTTTTGTTCTCCCTGCGCAGGGAAGACGCCATAGCCCCTTCGACCCTAGCGAGTATGCAATCCTGCAACGCTGTAGTGTTCACTCTGAGACACCCGGTACAGTATTAAAAAGCTAAAGTAAGTACATGCTGTTTAAACAAATTAAACATAGTACGGTGGCACATGGGATCATCTTAATTACGACTTAAGACAAGTATAATAGGATAATATTGTAAGTAAGTACTTCATTTTCGGACACCAAAAAACACACACAATTTATCTCCTATTAGTACACTTGTATCGCAGATCTGGCTCATGCAGTCTTGCCCTCCGTAGAAATTACGTACTCTAGACTTTTTGATTTAGGGCCGTCAGGGTGAACAGCGTGTTTTGTACTAATGGATACAGTATAGGAAAACAACTACAAAGTAACCACTCTTAGAACCCCGATATAGAACTGCATGGATAGTCACATTAGCAAAAAACGCAAAACTTATGCGACTATCAATTTACAGACTTTATTAAAGAGGCACGTGAAAGCCTTTAACGAACACGATTGGCAGTTAGAAACATTGAATGAATAAAGGAACTCTTCCATTGGTCCACTACTGGACCGTGACTAAAGTAGACTAGAAAACTTTCATATGAAATGTTTAAGTACATGGCACACGTTGATCAAAACTTTTCGCCAAATGAAACACGTAGCAGTTTAGTCTTCCTAGATCATTCAACATAATGTGTTAATCACATTTAGCAGCTTAGTAACACATTGCACGCCATGGCAGTCAAAAAAATAACAACTTAAGTAAATAAGGAACATTTTTGAGATTCTGTAAACTAAATTAATACTTGGAAAATATAATACTGATATAAAATACTTGTACCCCAGCACTTTCAGTACTAAACATCTGGATCTGATTAACACTCGCTGACGTATAAAGTCGCGCAAGAGCAAGGAAACTGTCCACTGAAAATACTGCTTGGTTGAATTTCATTCAGCATGAATGCACTACCTCCGCCCCTCGTCAGCCATGGCTTCACGTTACGTGTGGTGAAAGGAGCAAACAAGCCACACTGTTACGGGGACACGGTGCAACACATGCAGCGCGGGAACCGGCGCGCACGTCAGACTGTTCACGGCCAATGGCACGGTAAGTTCGGTGGTCAGTCGAACGAGCTGAGTGTGACCTCGCTGGTCGAGGCCCTGGGCGCCCCGCTCGTCATCCTCACTGGCACTGGCTGGTCGCTGGCGGGCGGGGCCGGCGGCGGGTGCGGCCCGCTCCTCGAGGGGTTGACCCCCTCTTCCGAGCTAACGCTCCCGTGACTTCCGAGGCTGATCGAAAGTTCTTTCAGCGACTGGAAAGGGAGAAACCATCGTGGCATTGGTTTCTTAAACCGCGCTGCGTTGCAGGTCCACCGAACCGAAACCCATATCGCACGTCGCCCAAGCGAGCAGGTCCGTCCGGCCGCGCGCGCACGGCGCCGCACTCCCAGTGCTGCCAACCCGCTGGTGAGGCCGCCGTCAGCAGCCCTCATCGAACGCGCCCTTCAGTCGAGCGCGCTGCCGGGTTGGCAACACTGACTGCTGTCAGAACATGAGCGCCTCGTCCGGTTCCTCGGAACCCGCGGGCCGAGGCCACGTCCAGAAGTCCATGAGGCGGCCCAGGCCTTGTCCCAGCGCCGAGCCGAGGGCAGCCGGGGCGGTCTGAGGGGTCGAGATGGGGGCCGAAGAAGAGGCAAGAGCGAGGCCGGGGGCAGGGCCGAGGGCGGGGCTGGCCGGGGGGCTGGCCGGGGGGCTGGGCGAGCCACTGAGCGAGCTGGGCAGGGAGGACTGTTCACTCACCTGGTCCAGCAGCTTGGTCTCCTCGTCGTTGAGTGGCTCCCACTGCAGCTCCCGATCCGTGCGGTCCTCTGCGACAAGACAAACTAGCGGTTAGCATGCTTGAGGTCCTCTTGCGTGTACGATACAGGATAAGAGTCAAGCCAACGATAACATTCCTACAAGCAACCAGGCGGTCAGGCTGTACGCACGCAGCATCGCTACTTGTTGAGATTTACAACTACGGAACTACGCTACTGTGTTAATGAGTAAATCGATAACGGTTACAAATGACATTCAAATGACTCAAATTGATCGTAGCAAGTAAACACAAAGCGGCATTTTCAGGCCCATAGATTTCGTATTTTCAGCATATGCCAACGAACCACATGGTTGCTAGTATTTAAGGATTTGGTTTTGGATGTACAGATATTACTAGGGGATGAAACCTCTGAATACCTAGTGGAGCGCAAAAGAGAATTATTAATTATTTACATTTGCACTTCAAAAGGGCGCGAGAAGAAGGGCGTGACAACGAACGCCACCTCCAACTCCACCAACCCTCATTAAAATGGAGATAGACTACTCCCGCGAAGGTAATCACCCCTTTAAGTGCTTTCGGAGGCTGCCGAAGGGTCGTCAGAGATGTCAAAGCCTCCCACGATTGCAGGTATATTCTCAAGGACACTGTTAGTATAATAAGGTGCAGAAGCTGAAAAAAGTGAATGGCCAGTGACGTACACGTATATGTATCATGTGCAATGTGACATGTTGGCTCTGTCATTAATATAGGATGACTAACGGATTATTATTCTCTTTTTCACTATACGTTGCGATGTGCACTGACTTAAGAAGTAGCCAACTCAGACGCAACCATGCTCTTGTCCCACGCGTGTCAGAGCCACAACACAGCGGTGTTGCGAGGATGCCTACTCCAGGGGCCATGACGCCTTACTGGTAGAGCTAGGCAAACCCGCATACTATTGTGTCGGAGCCCTGACACATGGTAGAACCTGATTAAAAAAAAATGACCGTGAGCCACACCGTATATGTATATGAAACCTCGTGTGATGCGGTGACGTATTACTAGAGCAGCCAACATCTAGGCGACACAGAAAATAAAGTTTGAAAATCTGCTGTTTTCACGAACATTTGCGGTCGTCGTCCGAGAAACCCCGGGCTGTCTGTGGCCCTGTCGGGAACGGTCCTGGAAAACCTGCAAAACCCACCGCATCAGAAGGAGATTTTTGTGTTTTTTTCTGACAAAATGGTTGGTTCATAACCCGACCAGAAAGAACATTAATCAAACCTTCGATGGAACCTCGCACCGAAAACTGTTCGGAAATGGTCGAGAAGAAATACAAAACACGAAAAAGGTGAAGGTGCATCTGTTCACTATCTGACTATGAGTACATCTGTTTCCCGAAAGAGGCAGCCTTCCCTCCCAGGAGAGTCAGCTTCGTGCCATACTCCCTGCACCGTGTGCCGCGAGCGGGGAGTATTGACCGGCAGCGGCAGAGGGCCGCAGGGCAAGGAGTGGTGCCCGTCGGGGCCCTTCTCGCCCCACTCCCCAATATATACATGTCGAACTGTCTTCAGTTTAGAATTGAAAAAGCTTATTTGAAAATTTTTTAATTTATCTAAACTTGCCGCTTTTTCTCGGCATATCACAGTAATTTCCCCTGGAAACTGGTAAGCAAATTTACGTGATTCCTTAAAAATGCCGCATTCACTGCTCATGCATACTCACCCTGGAAGCGGATCTGCTTGCCGCCGTTCTGCTGGCCGGCGCCCGGCGCCACGGGCGGCGACACGTGCATGGGGCTGGTGGGCTCGCTCTTCATGAGGGGCTTGGCGGCGGAGCCGTTCTGCTTCTGCTGCTGTTGCTGCTGCTGGCGCGCCTTGTAGGGCGAGGGCGCGGTGGGCGGCAGCAGCGGCGGCGGGTTGTGCCACAGCATGGCGGCGGCCTGCTCGGCCTCCTTGCGCCGCCGGTAGTTGCGCTGCGTACGGTACAGGTCGTAGCCCACGCCCAGCAGCACGATGCCGAAGATGGACGTGAGGACGATGAACACGACTGCGGAGACGGGGAGCGGTAGAGGTGAGACAGAGGGGCGGCAGAGCTGCGGCTTGCAGTTACAGCACACGGCGCATACTCACTCTTGCCGAACCCTTCCTCGACGGTGGACGCGTCCGAGTACTGCGACTTGTACGGCACGCGGTTCGGAGGGTCCTCCACCCAGGCCTTGTCCCTGCCCTGCAATCACAATGGAGCGCGCAGAACGCGTTTAAAGGAGGCTGCAGGAGAGGCGGCTCAAGGTGGCGGCAGGGGCGCGCACCCAGCGGTACTCACCACGCTGAGCAGGCTGCTGTTGAGGGACGGGCTCGGCCGAGGCTTGTGCATCACGTCGAAGTTGGAGCACTGCGCGCTGCGTACGCCCTGCGGCGTGATCACCAGCACCTTCTCCGAGCCGTTCTTGATGAAGGCCATGTACTCGTCGACCGGCTTCATCATCTGGTGGTTCACCTCGACGAACACGTCTGCAGGAGGGTCGTGGTTACAACAGGGGACAGAGAGCACAACGGGCTGAGAGGATGGAAACAACCGCCGCTGCGATACTCACTGGACAGGCAGCCGCTGTAGGACGTGTAGGCGCCAAAGCGCGGGTCGCTCGTCTTGAGGCCGCCGATGTGCACGGCGTCGCTCACGCGGTTGCTCGCGTCCTTGTCCTCGGTGAAGCTCAGCACCGAGATGGGCTGCAGGTCGACGGGCTCGCGGTCGATGAGCAGCCGCGCCGCGTTGCCGTCGCGCTTGTAGTAGAGCGAGTGGCGCGCGCCGTTGAGGAAGTTGCGGTCCTTGATGCGCGCGCCCACCGACGTGGCCGTGCCCTCGCGGTCCTCCTGGAAGATGAGCTCGCCCTCGGCGGAGATGGCCACCAGCAGGTAGTAGCTGCGCCTGGAAGGAACAAGGAACGCGAGTTTTGGATTTATATCTGGAAGTAAAGACGGAGGTGAGTTTGAAATTATCTAGAGGTAAAAGGGATGCGAGTTTGAAATTATCAGGAAGTATCGAAGCGACGATTGGAACAAAGTCTGTTTTGATTACTTGAGTGATTCTTATTTTTCTATATTTTGTTTAAATTAAAATCAAGTAAAAGTAAAGGAACTGTCTGAAGATGGCATCCCCATTGCATTGTAAGGAAACTAGAAGCTACGAACCTATTCTCGGTCTGGATGAGCAGCAGTGACGTGCTGCGGTGGCGAGCGTCGCTCGACGAGAAGGCGAGCTGCACCTTGACTTGGTTCACCTCTCCCTCGAGCGTAAAGTTGCGCAGGAGCACCGACTCGCCACCAAAGTCCGCACCCTTTTCTGCGAGCAGAGAAAGATTGTAAAAGAAACACATATTGAAGTACCTTCTTTGCAGGATCTCGTATCTGAACCGCCTGTGAAGCGGCGCATAGGCCACACGCACAGCAGCCGTGCCCGACAGGTTCTCTGCCTCAGGCTGAGAGCCCCTGTGGTTGGCGTGGTAGGCCACCCGGCCAGCAGGTCAGCGAGGCGGGCGGCCCAGCCAACGCTCTGCAGGGGCTCTCTCGACTGGGGCAGCTGCCGTAGTAGCCCGTCTCTCTCTCACCTTGTCCGCAGAACTCGCCGTAGTACGACGTGTGCTCGCAGTTGCAGGAGCTCTCCCCCTTGGCAAAGTCCTCGATGCAGATGCCCTGGTGCTTGCAGGGCTCCTCATCGCACTTCATGCGGCAACCGGCAATCACGCCTACGGGTCCCACGATATCTGCAGTGGGAATGACAATTAGCCACATCGAGCATCAAGTATCTTGTGCAGAAAAGTTACCTGCTGACTAAAATTTAATTATACCTAAAATTCAACTCGTATGTTTGATACGCACCGACTGGGTTGGCCGCGTTGGCATTCAGGTCGTAGACGGTGTCGCCAATCTTGAAGCCGCGGATGCACCCGATGAAGCCCGTCAGCTGTTGAGCCTCGGGGCTCACCCGAAGCAGCGTCTCGTCCTCCATGCCGCCCAGCTTCATGTGGAAGTACTCGGTGGGCGGGGCGGGAGGGCGCTGCGGGGCCAGCACCTCTGGGGCAACAACAGGGTCCTTAGTCGTGTTTGGGGCCAAGGGCTTGGGGTTGGAGAACGGAATAAACAAAAAGAATTAGCTAAATTGGCGAATGCGTTCGAAAATATGACCTTCGATTAGAATATTGTTAGCCCAGCTTATTCTTTGCTAAAATAGCTAAAAAAAATTGCCCGAACAGTTGTCTAGAGAATACATTAACTAGCTGTGAAAGCTAATATGTTAGCTCTCTTAGCTAAGAATTAGCGAAACGAGCTTGTTTTGTGATCTAAGGTCATGTTAGCGATTGCATTATCTATTTTAGCTAACTCTTTTTTGCGTGTTGGAGGAAATGCCGCCGGACGCGCCTGGTGCTTACCCTTCTCCGGGTTGGACCAGGGCTTGTTCCGGTACTCGGTGAGCAGCAGCACGGGCGCATGCACAGTGGCGTTGCGGTCGTTCACATGCATCGTCAGCTCGCCGCCCTTGCGGATGATGGCCACCTGCACCGACTTCCCGCTGTTGAGCCCTACACAAAGCAAACGCATATCGTTATTCGAATGATTTGACAGTTTGAAAAATACACTGTTAAAATTAGTATTGTAAATTTACGATACCTGTATCGTAAACTTTCATAGCGACAAGTGTTGTTATATTACAACACTCTTGTCAGAAAAATATCGTTATTTTACGGTAATGTTGTTACAAAATTTTTTTTCTTAAGATCAGGGAGAGGGTGTTGACTATTTCTGTATGGTTTACAACTATGTCATCAGATTACAACATTCTTGTGAACATACAAACAATATCGTTTAGAAACGACTCGGTCCTGTTTCTCAACAAATAAATCGTTATATTACAGAAAAAAAAATCGACTAATATTCTTAACTTTCAATTTTCTTTTCATCAAAACTGAGAAAACAACTCATTTTTATTTCTTTCTGTAAAATAACGATTTGTTCGTTGAGAAACATTTTCTTTCGTTTTAAAACAATGAGTTCGTTCTAATACGATACCAATGTAGTTTTGCCTAAGAATGAATCTTTCCATCAACAAACGGATTTGTCGTACTAAAACAAGCTTACTGTTAATTAACGTTGCTTTCGTTTTCTGTTGAAACAACAATGTTGTATTTAAACGACAAATTTCTTACAAAATTTGTCGTAATTTTACAACTTTTTTTAACAGTGTATGCTCGTAAATTTACATCGTTTGGTTGTTAGACAAAAAAAATGTGAATTTGTTACAGGCCATTTTTGTTGTTTCTCGTTCAATTTCAAATTTCAAGTCGATAAAAAGAGCTTGTAAATATACAATTTCAGATTGTAATTTTTACAACAGACACCATGGAAAATTTTCCTGTAAACCTACGACTATTTTTTACAGTGAATTTTTTAATTTGGCGGTTTGACACCCGACTACTCCGAAGAATATATTTCACCCTTACCTTGGTACTGTACGGCAATACGCTTGATTTCGTTGCCCGAGTTGAAGAGGAACACGAGGGTCTTCTTATTTTGGATGTATAAGTGAACGAAGTTGTTGAGGTGGTCGTTGGCGTACAGGACGAGTGAGTTGGCGTCGTACGTCCTCAGGTTGATTAGGATGTTTTCAGACAGCATTCGCTTCAGCAGCGACTTCTCGGCATCCGTGTTGTTGAACAGGAAGTTCTTCTTCATGTACGTGTCGCGGTGGATCATGGTCATAGCGTTCACGTTAATATCTGAGAGTGTGGGAAGTTGAAAAGAACGTCATATAGAATAAGTCACACTTAATGGAAACATTTTGGCACACTTACTGGTCTCGCAATACTGCCCGATGTACGCCCAGGGGTTCTCGCAGACGCACTCGAAAGTGGACCACAGCTCCTTGCACTGCGCTCCGTTCTTGCACGGGTTCGGGTCGCAGCTCGGCTTGCAGTCCTTGATGATCTCGCTCAGGTGCACACTCATATACGAGTAAATGTCCAGCACCTCGCCGTTGACGACCAGACCGCGGAAGCAGCCAATCAGACCCTGGGAGATCGAGCTCTTCTTTAGGAGGTCCCTGCAGTCCGCACAAAAGAAACACATCACTGGCCATCGTCGATCAAAGGTTACCTCCCAGCGAGGTTGTCATCAGATTGACGTGAATCGGTCGAAATGTCGTCAAAAATGGGACTATTTTAATTTTCTTTGATGTGAGTGGACGTGGGATTGACGTCAGATTGATGTGCCTTAATTAAGCAGAGTGCTCGCTGGGCTCCGACAAGGAGTGCACGCTTGGGTGCGCCGCGGTGTGTGCAGTGTGCACTCTGCTCACAGTCGGTCAGTAAAACACCGCCAGGAAGGAAAGAGGAGGTCGTTAAAACGTTATGGAAAGGCGGCCCCTCTGGGCTGCTATAGGCCCCTTAGAAGGCCATCATGTCACGAGGTTATGCCGCAGTAACTATGAAAGGTTAAGTAAAACCTCGACCCTCGGCCCTTATGCCACCTGGATCCGATACTCGCGCTCACTGCACGCTAGCTTCTCTACGTGGCCGAGGAAAATTGACCTCACATGTTGCAAACATGAGTATTCAGAAATACACATAAAAACCTACACTCAGTACGCGACGCGCTACTCACTCGGTGGCGCCGCCGATGAACATGCTGCCCTCGAACGGCCCGAACTCCTCCTCGGGCATCAGGTCCACCATCTGGTAGTCGGTGTTGATCATGAAGCGGACGTGGTGCTCGTTGTAGTCGATCCATATCTTCTGCCACTCGCCAGAGTTGAGACGGCGCTGCGACTTGATCTCCAGCTCACGAGAGCGGCCAGTGTTGAGCGTAAAGTTGAACGTCAGCTTGAAGTCTAGGGTAACAAAATTTAAGGGGTTACTTAGAGAACAAAATTGGTATCTGCTTAAAGCGGAGGAGGTTGGGGCGGGTCTGTTGAGATTTCAAAAGTGATCATGACGACTGCAAGACAACTGACCGCTGGTGAGCGCCACCATGAAGGACGGCAAGTGAGGCCGGATGGGCGGCTGGTACAGCAGGATGGCGTTCTCTCCTGTGGTCCGGAAGCTGAAGGCGATGTCTCCCTTACGCCAGCCGGGCACCTCGATGTAGGACTGGCTGGTGGTAAACGTCACGACGTACGTCTGCGTGTCTGCAGCGAAATAAATCGAAAGGAACTTCATGTCAAATCTGATCGAGGACACATCTCGCTCGACGCGGAGGACTCCGTACTTGTCTCGACGCACTCCAGGGGGCCCAGGGTGATCCTCCCCAGGGCGTCCGCGTCCAGGTCCTTCTGCTGCAGGAACACCATTTCCGTGATGCCGAGCGAGCTGGGCGTGCCGAAGTAGCCCTCGTCCGAATGCCACTTGCTCTCCGAGATGTCGCAGTTGCACGACTGGTCCGGGTTGACGCAGGTCCGGTTGGTCGAGCAGGGGCAGGCGCCTCGCTTGACGTTGCCCAGGTAGTCCACGGTGCCGTTCTTGGCCGAGCCAATGAACCAGGTGGCCGAGTGGAGGTCGAGCGGTGCCTTGTAGCAGTCGTACTTGATGTACTGCGAGCAGTACAGCGAGTGCGAGATGAGCTCTTGCAGCATCTCGGAACTGAACTCGCGGTACTTGATTGTGAAACTGAAGTCTGACTCGGAGGCTCCGCGCACGTCCTGGGTGCCACCAAAACAAACAGCTGCGTTAATGTCGTGCGGTCACGAATACGGATGTGGTGGATACAGAGGAGTGCTCACCACTTGGCTCGGTAGGTTGTGCTCCACGATGGTCTTGGTGGCGTCCTCCTCCGACTGGAACTCGCACTTGACGTGGGCGGGCGGGAAGCGACCGTTACCATCGATATCAATCAGATACACATCGGGCTTGGTGTATCCCAGCAGTGCAAGCTCTTCGCACGTCTTGCGGAACTCGGCTACAAAGAGTAAAATCAAAATCAATACCCGCTACCAGAAAAAGGGATAGCAACGCCTCCACACGGTGTGAAGTCCAAGCAGCGGCTGCTTACCGAAGTGGCAGTTTTTGCCGATGTAGCCCGTGCCCTTGCAGTCGCAGGTGACGCGGTCGTCCTTGACGGAGCACTTGCCGCCGTGCTCGCAGGCGTTGGGCCTCGTGCAGGGGTCCACCAGCTGGCAGTTGTCCAGCGAGACGGTGCCCACGGTGTGCTTGGTGCGGACCACGTAGCGCGGCTCCAGCGGCACGCCGTTCACCGCCACGGATCGCATGCAGCCCACCAGACCTGTCGATTGCAAATGTCCGTCAGTCCGCTGTTCACGTGGTCCGTCGTTCAGCGCCGCTTGTTCAAAGCTCACCAGTGTTGGCCTTGCTGCCGAGCGCGCTCCCGATGATGACGCGGTCGCCCATCGTGAACTCCAGGCCGAACAGCTGGGACTGCTTGTGGCGGTAGTCCACGGTGAGCTTCACCTCGCCCTTGGAGTAGGAAAGGTCGACCTGGGGAAGTGCAAAGAGTCAGCAGGGGCAAGCGGTTGCAGCAAGACGTGTATCTCACAAATGCGTGACGACACGGTGACAATCAGAACTGAGTTTGGTGGTGAATAAAGACTCACGTTGTGCCAGTTGGCTCGCGAGTCGAAGGTGACGGTGGTGAGGTGCGTCACGTTCTTGCCCACCTCCGGGATGAGCTCGAAGCGGATCTGGTCGTTGACCACTCGCACCTGAAAGAGAGCACGGTTAATATTGCCGACCGGATTTGTAAAAGCTTCTGTTTTTCACGGCTCTTTCTTAACGTGTACCTCCCAGTAGCCGGTGCCCGCTGCGGTGGTGACGTTGGAGGACACGAGCACGGCCATGTTGCGGTAACTCTTGAACTCGAAAGACAGCGACAGGTTGTTGTGCACGTTGCTCGCCGGCCACCAGATGTGCGACGAAGGGAAAGGGAACGTGAGGGGGATGATCTCGACGTCGGCCTCGTAGAACTCGGGCTCGAGCACGCCGATGTAGTGCACCTTGGGGTTGCCCTTCTTGAGCTCGTACAGGATCGAGACTTCGTTGAAGAAGACGTACTTGAGCGTGCCGGCGAAGTTGTTGTTGGACAGGAGGCCCCGCTTCTTGTTGAGCTCGGGGCCGCCGCCGATGTAGATCTCCGGGTCGATCTGCAGGAAGTGCTGCGTGCCCGGCAGCGAGATCTCCCTCTTCTCCGAGCCGAGCGAGATGTGCACGCGGTCGCGCACGTGGTAGATGGTCAGGTTGTGCCAGTGGTTGTTGGTCACGGTGGTCTTGAGGTGCGTCACGATGGAGGGCCCCGCCCAGAAGTCCATCTCCACCACGACCGACCCGTTGACGATGGACGCGGCGATGTGGTGGTGGCGGTCGGTCTCTCCGCTCGCGTAGAACAGGGCCGAGTCGTCGAAACGCGTCTGCGAGCGCAAAGCCGTGTGCATGAGTCAATCAATAATAAAGTGCATCGGTCTGCGAAACAGACGCATGAGCGCCGCCGTCGGGGCGGCGGTTTACCTTGAAGAACAGGCTGATGCGGTTGACGTTCGAATGCACTCGGTCCTTCCAGTCGTAGATGCGGTAAGAGACGAAAGACGAACCTCTTAAGGTGAGGACTGTCGCCGCTGCAATAGACACCAAGCCGAGTGGTTAATCCATTCGATACAATTTTTACATGGTTCAGTTTTACATAAAAATGAAAGACAACTTACTGTAGATGTCGCATCGCTCGCCCTCGTACTCGGTGCCGTAGCAGTCGCAGGTGACATCATGGTAGTGGTTGATGCAGTGGCTGCCCACGAAGCACAGATTCTCGCGAGTTCGGCATCTGCAGCCAGTGAGGGGGATACATTTAAGAATAACCATGGCGAAACAAAAGTGTGCAATCCCAGTGAGAGACCCAAAATCGATTATTTCCTAATTTCGTCGATCAACTTTGATACAACGTCAAGGCGATATCGACCGAGATCAAACCAACCGTATTTTTGCCCGCAAATCGGTGTGAATCTGATTTCGTCGTCGACTCGAGCCTGTTACAACATCCAATAAAGCACTCTGGTAAAGCTGAAAGGGAGAAGAATGCGGGGAGCAACGCATTTCTTCTCTGCATTTCAGCTTTACCGGAATGCTCTATTTCTCACTGGGCACGGCTGGTCCGCCCGCTCGCTCACTTGTTAATGCAGCCCTCCTGCACGTTGTCGTGCTTGCTCGCCACGAGCGGCCGGATGGGCTCGAGCGCGCCGGTGCTGCCACCCGCGCTCAGCCGCATGTCCTTGATGCAGCCCACGAACGACTCGATGATGTACTTGACGCCGTGCAGCTTCTCCTCCGGGCTGAGGCCGCCGATGAGGACGACGGAGGGCAGGTCCGTGGTGACGCCGTAGCCCGGCTTGAGGCCAAGGATGCTGGTCTCCTCCGTGCGGTTGTCCACCCGGGCCAGCAGGCGCGCCGCCGTCACGTCGATGCGCACCATCACGCTGTGCCAGGTGTCGCGGTTCAGACCTGGACAAATGTATGCAAATGTGATGCAGGTGAAGAAATTTATCCACATAGCTAAAATATAGCTAGCTAACTAGAGGATAACTATTTACTTGGCTAGGTAGCTAAAATTTGGCCACATTTAAATGTATATAACTATAGATTTAGCTATATTTTAAGGTACACAGCTAAAAAAAGTTCCGACCAGAAACGGATCGTGAAAGCAGATGATACCTTGTGAAGAATTATTCTATTCCAGTCTATTATATTTCCGTATTTACACTTGAGGGGAAAGGGAGGGGGTAGGTGGCGGTGCGGTGCTGTGCGGGGGCTCCAGCGGTAGAAGGGAGGGGGGCCGCTAGCGCTAGCGCGGCCGACTCGGCTCGGGGCTCGGGCTC